AGCAGTTGTGAAACGAAACAAAATTTGTGAAAACATGCTAAAAAGCTGTGAAAAAAGTGTAATGTGTAATGACATCATATGTCGTGATGAATGAAAACCTTTTTATGAGTACACACTTGTACACACATTTACACACACACAAATCATAAGTCATACCTTTCACAGCTTTTTTAATTATATATGCATAAAAGATGATAACCTTGTTCCTAAACTGTATATATATATATATATATATATATATATATATATAGATATATAATTTATATGTATATATATATTTAGAATTCAGCAAAAAAATCTTTTAGTCAGAACTAGATGTAAAGTCTTAGAAGATGAGTTGGAAAATCCGTTAAACATTCATAGGTGGAAAAAAATCAAAGGCAGTGATCCCAGTTTATACGAAATGATATTGAAGATGCAGCCGCTCCAAAAGAGATTGATAAAGAAAACTGAGCTAGAAGTGCAAAAAGAAAAAGTAATAATTGAAAAAGAACTATTATATGACGAAATTAAAAAAAATGTCCCGACAGTCCGGTCCGGCAACACTTAAAGAGTTAGTTTTTAGCAAAAATTGCTTAAAGAACGCCAACAATAAAAAAAAGTAAATTTCAAATTGCGTTCATCGTTTGTAATCATATAGTTTATAGGGTTAAACAGGAGATAGGTACTTCTATGGTATCGTCCATGTTTACAAACAAACCATGTATGTTAAAATAAAATGATTCCGCCCATTTAAAATTAACTAGCGCTTAACTATTTATTGATTAGATTTAAAATTTTTCTATGATAAAAAAAATCCTTAGGAGTTGTATTTTTCAATTATATTTATTTAATTTATGATTTATATTTATTATTACATTTTTAAAATTGTTTTTATATTTATTATTACAATTTCAAAATTGTTTCTATAATAAAAAAGACCTCACAAATACTCTACTTCCTAATTAATAATTATAGAATTATAAAACGTAAATAGGAATTTTATTTTTAATAATTTTTATTTATATTTATTAATATGATTTAAAAATTGTTTCTATAATAAAAATAATAAAAACAGTTTTTGTTTTTTTTTGGTTTGCGCCGCCGTTCAAACAACGAGGCTTTGTACTTTTAAAATGGCTTTTCCATCCGTTGCCGGCGTACCTTTGAGTGAAATGATGAAAAATTTTGTTGAAAAGGAGGAGGCCGTAACATAGGCTATGCGACATGGCCTTCTAGCAAGTCAAATGACGTGCCAATGCGGGTCCCCTATGGAATTACGAAATAGCGTTTCTTCGGATGGCTTTTTGTGGCGGTGTTCACCAACGATCAAAAAATACTTGTAAATGCAAACGTCTCAAGCCTCTATACGAACATGAACAACTCACGCTCAATAGAAATAACAAAGGAAGCACTACGAAAATATATGCCAAACAATAAATTTAATGTTTATTTTGTAGGGTCAGGGCCCTCACCCTGACCCTACAAAATAATGTTTTCGCATTCAATCAACAACAATACCTGTAAATAAATGGATGCGCCATGGGAAAGATTTACTCCCCCACCCTAGCAAACCTGTACCTAGACTACCTCGACACAACACTAAATAACGAATTTGTCAATGTCATGAATTACAACAGGTACATAGACGAAATATTCTTCGAGTTCAACGGAACCAACACATTTTTAGTTTTGTACATCATGTAAATACTTTAATTTTAATAAAGTTAAATAAATTCATATAAAATCAAAAACATTATCATCTTGATTTTGTGTGAATTTTAATTATTTGTCGATACCGTGAGTATTTAACGTTTGTGAGTCGACCGTTTAAATTTGAATTAAATTTAATACATTGATTATTGTCAAAACAGAAATTTACTCATATTTCAACATTTTTTTATTTAATGTTTACTATTTTCAACTATTTGACAAGTAATGATCTATAAAACTTACCTAAGAATTAACTTGTATTAAATTATTTTTAATTTGATATAAATAAATAATCAAGCGCTAGATAATTCAAAATGGGCGGAGTCTATTTATTAAAAGTACAATATGATTGTTTGTAAACATGGACGATACCATAGGAGTACCTATCTCACGTTTTACCGTTTATAGCTTTTAATTTAATCAATCTTCGTTTAGCGTCCAGAGACACAGTTTCCCGAGGAAGGACGTTGTTTTTTTTGCCAAATTAGACGATCAGTTGTATCCATTTCATTTAAATTTAGAGCTTTCATGTTTTGCTCGATTATTTGCGACCAGGACTTCTTTGGACGGCCTTTGGGACGTGTGCCAGGTACTTCAACATCTGCAAGAGAAGTTATGGCACTGTTTCCATTTCGTTTAACACGTCGCAGCCATCGCAGACAGTTTTGCCGGTATTCGTCTTTTATATCATCTAAACCAACACAACGCAAGATTTCGGTAAATTTGATGTGGTCCTTCAGACTAATTCGTTGCATTCATCGGAGCATTTTCATGTCGGTTCGTTGAAGTTGTTGTTCCAGTTTGGTTGTCATTAGCCATGTTTCTGCACCATATAACAAGACCGGAAGTATCACAGATTTATAAAGTCTTGATCGTAGTGGTAGTGGGATAACGCGCCACATCAATATAGTGGCAAGGAGATGCCATTTATTCCAGGCTGCACGTATGAGTGCTCGAACAGCAGCTTCAGCTGTTCCAGTACAATTTAGAATATCCCCTAGATATTGAAACGATGTGACTTTCTCTACCTTAATGGCCTCAAAAACATTGCTATTTCGATTTTGTTGTTGTGGATTGATGCAAGCAGGACAAACAAAATTGGACACTTTAGATAAAGTACCAATTATTTTTGAACAAAGTTTGTGACACCACCGCTTATACTGCTGACACTTGATTGAATTGTTACCTACACTAGCTTTGCAAACTAAACAGGGCCATCGTCTAGTAGCTGTGGATTGGATGGGTTCATCAGTTCATCAGGGTTCATTTCATTGCTTTGGTTTTGCTGATGTTGACTTTGAATCCATGATCGGCGAGTCTGGTGTTCCAATTTTTAAACATCTGTGCTGCATTCTGCTAGGACGTGGCTGTTAAAACGATATCATCAGCATATATTAGATTCCAAATGTCACCAGTGCGTATCGGTTTTGTGATTTCTTTCATCACAGTTATAAATAACAGTAGACTGAGAATCGAGCCTTGGTGAACTCCAACGCCGATGTCAAATGCGTCTGTGTTTCCAATCGTTTTGCTAACGAGTCTTAGTATTCGTATACATTTCCATCCCAAGTCGAACAAGATATTCTGGAATGAGTTGTCGACAAAGACTCCACCTAATTGCTTCACGGGGAACTCGATCAAATGCTTTTTCAAGGTCTACAAAAATGTGTGATAGTTGTTGATGCCGCATCAATACAGAAGCAAGGAGATGCCATTTATTCAAGGCTGCACGTAAGCGTGCTCGAACGGCAGCTTCAGCTGTTCCAGTAAAATCCAGAATATTCCCTAGAATCCCTTAGATATTGAAACGATGTGACTTTCTCTACCTTAATGGCTTCAAAAACATTGCTATTTCGAATTTATTGTTGTGGATTGATGCAAGCAAGACAAACGAAATTGGACATTTTAGATGAATTACCAATTATTTTTGAACAACGTTTGTGACACGACTGGTTACACTGCTGATACTTGATTGAATTGACTCCACCTGATTGCTTCACGGAAACTTGATCAAATGCTTTTTAAAAGTCTCCAAAAATGTGTGATAGTTGTTGATGCTTTGCGAGGTACTTCTCTTACAGTTGCCGAAGGATGTGAATTGCATCAATTGTTGATTTCCCGGCTAGGAAACCAAATTGATAAATTTCCGATTGTGATGCACGACGTTAATCTTCTCTCAATGATTTTTTTGGCAATTTTCATGGAGTGCTCTAACAGGCGTATACCCCGATATGATTAACAGTTCAATGGATCACCTTTGCCTTTGAATAGCGGAACTGTCATGCTATAGTTCCATTCAGTCGGCATTGAGCAATTTCTCCACACTTCACAGCAAAGGTGTAGTAACGTTTGGATACCTGCAGTACCACATGATTTGATAATGTTATTTTTGAGTTCAAAGGGCCTTGCTGCCTTTCCATCCTTCATAGCTTTCTGAGCTTCTGTAAGCTCCTCTACAGCGATGTCTGAAATCTGACCTTCGATGGGTGGAGCGTCAAAGTTGTCATTGATGAAATCGGACCTTCGATGGGTGGAGCGTCAAAGTTGACATTGATGAGATTTGTTTCATTTAACAGACAGTTGAAGTATTCTCTCCACTGTAGCTTGATCTCATCTTGTTCAAGAACCATCTCATTGTTGTCGTTTTTGATACATGAGTCACCAACTTTGTCATTCTTCGTACACTTTGTCTGTTTTGCTATACGATACAGAGATTTTATTTGTTCACCTTTGTTTTTAGTGAGCCACTCTCTGCATTGATCTGTCCGAGCCAGTGCGACTTGACGTCTTGCATAGTTGTTCTTCTCACGGAAAATTTTATGGTCATCAACAGACTTTGATTTTGCCATTGCTTGTATGCTACTTTTTTTTCAGCTATTGCATTTTGTACACTGTCATTCCACCACCAAGTGTCCCGTTCATGCTAGCGTTTTGTACCAGTTTTCCAACAAACTGTAGTTGTAGCGTTTATCAAAACGGTTTTGTATGTACTACCATCTGTACTTGCTTGCGATTGGTGGTCTAACTGTGTTGCGACAATCTGTTGAAATTTTTCTCCATGAATATTGCTTTTTAGCTTCCACGTTTTGATTCTCCGAGGCATTTGTTTAGACTTATGTTTTGACAGTTCGACAACCAGGTCTGCCAAAAGGAGTCTATGTTGGGCGACATATGATTCGCCAGGTATAACTTTGACATTTTTGAATAGCCTTCGGTGTTGTTGCTTGACAGCGAAGAAATCAATTTGCGAGGCTGATAATTCATTTTTGTATGTTATGAGATGTTCCAACCTCTTTCTAAAATATGTGCTAGTATAAAAAACCCGTGACTTTCAGCAAACTTAAGGATGCGGTTGTCATCTTCATTCCGTTTTCCATAGCCAAAACCGCCCTGTAGGTTGTCAAAACCTTCTGTTTTTTCTCCAAAGTAGCCATTGAGATTGCCTCCAATCAGGATTGTTTCAGATTTTGGTATTGTTGAGATGGTGTCAGAGAACACAACCCAGAAGTCATTTTTCATCTCTTTTGATTCACCTGTCTGTGTTGCGTATGCTGAAAAAACTTTTGCGTTTCTAGGCGAAGCTTTATCCACATGAGACGTAAATTAATCCTTTTAATAACTAGTACTTCTTGGGCTATGGGTTCTCTGACAAAAATTCCAACACCATTTTTGGCCGTCTTTTGACCATTCCTTTGTCTTAGTTGACATGACAAACACCATTCGATTTCCATCGGGTCTCTTGAAGGCAGCAGATGTCAATCCTTCCACGCTCGAGCATTTCTGTGATTTCCATGCTGCGGCCAGTCAGTGATCCAACATTGAGCGTTCCAAGTTTGTATGTATGTATTGTATATATGTATGCGTGTATGTATGTATGTGTGTATGTATGTATAATACTAATAATATTATTAATAATAATAATAATTGATGACAAACTGATGACAATAAATTATATGATGACACGCAGTACAGACTGATTTTGGAGTGAAATGGAAATTGCAGAGGACATCCAGTTTTCTAAAGAGGGCAGCCATGGACTGTTTATCTCTTCTATCTTCACTGGCACTTTTTCCTCTTTTTCTGGATGGTGTCTAAATATTCCTGTTCGTATATTTTCGTATATTTCAATGACATCTCACTTTTCTCATCACTGAGCACGGATTTCTTCAGCTCGAACGTTCGTTCCTTCGTTTTAATTTTCCTCTTCGGCCCATCCCAGATGTTATCCTTCAGCCTCAGCAGTCTCTTCTCCTCGATTGTTTTGTTCACCTCCTCTGTTATCACCATTGCAGGCTTGGTAGCAGTATCAAAGTCGAGTACCTTCTGCAAGAGACTGTTGAGATTGCGTTTGGAGGCCCCAATCTCACCTTTCAACTGCCAGTCCTTCTCCAACGTCGTTTTCTCCTCCAGTTCGTTTATCTTCTTTTACCACATTTTCTGCCTCCTTTCAAATGATGACTTCACCATCTGCTTGTATCACTTTCATCACGAGTCAACTTTCTGTTGACATCATTAGCCAGCCTGTCCTCATCATCATCATCATCATCTTTCCCCATATCAACATCTATCTTTTTCATCATCTCTTCTTTCACCAAAATCCTCAGAAACCTTATCCAGATCATCATCACCATCATCTTCCATGTTGGCGGAATCGTCAAGTGCACTGGGCTTGGGCGGGGCATCATAGAAGTCATCGTACTTTATGGTGCCTCCCTCATCATTGTCGGCGTCATCTTCATCTTCCTTCGTCATCCTCTTCCTCTTCTTCTTTGACAGCACCACCGTCATCACCATTTTCTCCCTAAACAGAATTATCATCACCATCCCTTTTGAAACTTCATCGACTTTTTAAAATTTTTAACAAAATGCTTCAACCGAGAAGGCCAGGTTTTGTTGACTAATTCGATTTGCTGCCAAACGTGTTTGGCATCAAAGTCATCGAGGAACAGGGTCGGCAAGTAATCTTCGTGTCTGTTGTCATCACCGTCCGGCGCTCGACATACATCATACAAAGATTTGCAAAAAGTAAGCTGGTCTTTTGATAAATCTCTGCGAACACTCAAAAAATTATCCAAACTGTGTACATTTTTTTCTATACACCCAATCACTTCGTTGATTTTCTTTTCAAACATTTTCATTTTTTCATAGTTTTTAGTTTAATAAGTTAGTATAAATACATTCATTTTTTTTAACGATGATTATTTTTTATTTATAATCGATAGCGATGTATACGAGGAATACGAGTTACCGAGACGAGTACCGAAAATACCAATAACATTGGTAATACTGATTTCAACATCGATAATAAAATTTTTCATCGGTACTGAATCATTTACCAAACCGAAAAACCGATAGTTCACCAATGTTCTTCAACATCAATAATAAAATTTTTTATCGGTACTGAATCATTTACCAAACCGAAAAACCGATAGTTCACCAATGTTCCAATAGTTAACTGATGTGCCGATAATTTATCGATAATTTACTGAGTTAGCGAAGTCGGTATAAAAGTCGGTTTTGCACGATGGCCTGGTTTGAATACAGTCTGTTTTAAACTGAAAAGCTATTACATACCATGCGTGCGGTGCTTGCACGTATTTCCATGTACATCGTGTGGTTGGACGTACCCAGCTTTTGGGACACGAAGGTTTAATTATGAGTGTGGAAGAACATGTAAGCAGTACTGCTTTGTCAAAGCTGCAGAATCAAGAATAAACAAAAAATATTTTGCTGATGATCTTATTTCGTAAATTTTTTTTGGTAATTTCTATTTTCGTAACTTGCTTGCGAATTTTTAATGACATATTGTCTATGCCTAAATTATTTTTCCCATTATCATATTTTACGATATCTTTTATTGTTCTGTTCTATTGTTTGCTCTAGAGGAGTTGGTTGATACCCCGCATCCGTGTCGTGACATGGCACATATATAGAGTAGTATATACTCTATATATGTTGTAGAGTTCGAAATAGCAATATTTTTGAAGCCATTAAGGTAGAGAAAGTCATATCGTTTCAATATCTAGGGGATATTCTGGACCGTACTGAAACAGCTAAAGCTGCCGTTCGAGCACGCATACGTGCAGCCTGAAATAAATGGAATCTCCTTGCCTCTATATTGATGCGGCGTGACATCCCACTACCACTACGATCAAGACTTTATAAATCTGTGATAAGTCCAGTGTTGTTATATGGTGCAGAAACATAGCTAATGACAACCAAATTGGAACAACAACTTCACCGAACCGAACCGCTATGAAAATGCTCCGATGGATGCAACGAATTAGTCTGAAAGACCACATCAAATCTACCGAAATCCTGCGTCGTTCTGGTTTATATGATATAAAGGACGAATGCCGGCAACACCGTCTGCGATGGTTTGGTCATGTCAAACGAAGTGGAAACAGTGCCATAACTTCTCTTGCAGATGTTGAAGTACCTGGCACACGTCCCAAAGGCCGTCCAAAGAAGTTCTGGTCGCAAACAATCGAGCAAGACATGAAGGCTCTAAATTTAAATGAAAGTGATACAACTGATCGTCTGATTTGGCGCAAAAAGTTGATGGCAAAGAAAACAACGTCCTATCTCGGAAAACTGGGTCTCTGGACGCTAAACGAAGATTTATTGATATATATATATATATATATATATATATATATATATATATATTTTACAATATTCTATAAATTCTACCGAATGTTTGGCGTTAATATGTTTGTAGTTCGTTTTTTCGATTTTTCTCGCTAAAGTTTTTTGGTGAACGTTTACTTTATTAAAATTCAAAATAAACTTATTC